TACCTTACTTTACATTGTACCGTTTTGTTTTTGTTTTTTTCTCATTTCGAAGAAAATAAATGTTACTTTGATTGGTGATTGATTTATTGATTGAATGAACTTAAATTTAAGACTAAGACTAACCATTTTTAACTATTACTAGGCCTGTTATTATTTTTATTATTATTAATATTTTTATTATTATTATTATTATTGTTGTTGTTTTATTGGTTTTCAAGAAAGATGGGACGTATCAGTTATCTTATTTTAAAGGGTCATTCAACGCTCTCTCTGACGTATCAGTTATCTTATTTTAAAGGGTCATCCAACGCTCTCTCTGACGTATCAGTTATCTTACTTTAAAGGGTCATCCAACGCTCTCTCTGACGTATCAGTTATCTTATTTCAAAGGGTCATTCAACGCTCTCTCTGACGTATCAGTTATCTTACTTTAAAGGGTCATTCAACGCTCTCTCTGACGTATCAGTTATCTTATTTTAAAGGGTCATTCAACGCTCTCTCTGACGTATCAGTTATCTTACTTTAAAGGGTCATTCAACGCTATCTCTGACGTATCAGTTATCTTATTTTAAAGGGTCATCCAACGCTCTCTCTGACGTATCAGTTATCTTACTTTAAAGGGTCATTCAACGCTTTCTCTGGCGTATCAGTTATCTTACTTTAAAGGGTCATCCAACGCTCTCTCTGACGTATCAGTTATCTTATTTTAAAGGGTCATTCAACGCTCTCTCTGACGTATCAGTTATCTTACTTTAAAGGGTCATTCAACGCTTTCTCTGACGTATCAGTTATCTTATTTTAAAGGGTCATTCAACGCTCTCTCTGGCGTATCAGTTATCTTATTTTAAAGGGTCATCCAACGCTCTCTCTGACGTATCAGTTATCTTACTTTAAAGGGTCATTGAACGCTTTCTCTGACGTATCAGTTATCTTATTTTAAAGGGTCATTCAACGCTCTCTCTGACGTATCAGTTATCTTATTTTAAAGGGTCATTCAACGCTCTCTCTGACGTATCAGTTATCTTACTTTAAAGGGTCATTCAACGCCAGAGATCCCAAGTTTGAAAACCAAAAAATAGGGAGATTTTTTTCGTGAAGCGATCGCCTCCTGTAGCGACGCGCTGTGACACTTTACGACACGCTGTGCAACATGAAAGTATTACACAAAATGAAGAAAACAAACAAATTTCAATAATTTGTTTACTTTTATTTAACAATTTTACATTTGTTTACACATTGCAGTTGGCCTATATAAATTTATAAATATTATTTATTTAGAATTTTGCTAGTAAAGCATTCTTGGCAGCAGTCAAGGCTTTGCTTGGTTCATTGGCATATTAGAGGCTATGGCTGATTTACTACATCTCTTCAAAGAACATAGAATTCTAGCAAGGTAACTGCAACTTGCAAGATCCACACGTTTGCTGAAAAATTAAAAAATAAATATATTTTAATTTAGTTAGTAAATCATACTACATGTTTTAAGTCAGCGTTTATATATGTCTAGCCTATACTAATTCGTACATAATGCCATGAAAAAACATTAAATCCTGCCTCGGTAGGCTCCATCTGTACGTGCGTAACTAGGCCTTGGCCGCAGAGTCACGACCACCACTACACAGAGACGCCCACTCAATACAACGCACATACCCTGCAGTGCAGATAGAGCCCAGGCCTACATGTATTTCGGGATTGATATTAAAATATACTTCATCTTTCGGAAGACTACTTAGTACCAAAACCTACTAACTATGATTTTTTTTAGTATTGTTATTAAAGAACTTAAGCTTAGGCCCTACTTGAAAGAAAAAGTATTTTTTATGCACCGATTCTACAAAGTTCCAAATCTTCGCGGCGAAAAAAACTTGGGGCATCCATTCTATGTGATTTCTAATTTCGTTAATTTGTTGAAATTTATTTACTCAACTGACAGCCATCTCATTGATTGAGGTCGGCGCGGATGAGAAAGATCGTAACATGGAGGATAAACAAGGCTATTCTACCACGGATCTAGGCCTGCCTTGCCATGGAGTTGTTATTTTGATAAACAACTTAAATAACAACTCCCTCGTCTTGTTTACGACATTTTAAGGCTGAGCGAGCGCCATAGTATATTGGCTTAAGATAAGAAATTTTGTTTCATTGCTCTATGACACCGTGGAAATCACATTTTTCGTGAAATTTTCGGGATATTAAAAAAAATCGGGAGATTATTAATACAAATCGGGAGGGCGGGAGACGGCCTCAAAAATCGGGAGAACCCGCGATTTTCGGGAGAATTGGGATCTCTGTTCAACGCTCTCTCTGACGTATCAGTTATCTTATTTTAAAGGGTCATTCAACGCTCTCTCTGACGTATCAGTTATCTTGCTTTAAAGGGTCATTCAACGCTCTCTCTGACGTATCAGTTATCTTATTTTAAAGGGTCATTCAACGCTCTCTCTGACGTATCAGTTATCTTACTTTAAAGGGTCATTCAACGCTCTCTCTGACGTATCAGTTATCTTATTTTAAAGGGTCATTCAACGCTCTCTCTTACGTATATCAGTTATCTTATTTTAAAGGGTCATTCAACGCTCTCTCTGGCGTATCAGTTATCTTATTTTAAAGGGTCATTCAACGCTCTCTCTGGCGTATCAGTTATCTTATTTTAAAGGGTCATTCAACGCTCTCTCTGGCGTATCAGTTATCTTATTTTAAAGGGTCATTCAACGCTCTCTCTGGCGTATCAGTTATCTTATTTTAAAGGGTCATTCAACGCTCTCTCTGGCGTATCAGTTATCTTATTTTAAAGGGTCATTCAACGCTCTCTCTGGCGTATCAGTTATCTTACATTAAAGGGTCATTCAACGCTCTCTCTGACGTATCAGTTATCTTACTTTAAAGGGTCATCCAACGCTCTCTCTGACGTATCAGTTATCTTATTTTAAAGGGTCATCCAACGCTCTCTCTGACGTATCAGTTATCTTA